GTATATATATATGTATATTGCTGGGAAGTATACTCTGGGGATATATTTGGAATTTTAGCTCTGTCTCTTCCTAAAAGATGTCAGCCATTGTTTTTCTCATCCGTATATTAGAAGCAGGAACACCTAGCACAATATGAGGTGAATGAGCTGAGTATCTGCATGGGCCTCTCATCATAGGCATATCCGGGTTTTCAAGCATCATTAGAAAAGCAAACATCTCCAGAAATGGCATCACAGACACAGACACATAATCTTACATTTCACTTACCAACACTTATTACATTTCTGTTATGTATAATTATAATTGGCCTATCAAATAGGAAGATCAGGAAATTCAACATATTCACAGTAATAGTTAAGCAAGAGCATGTAGGGGGATGATAGCAAAATGTGACAAGGGTTGCTAAATCAGAGTGATTACTGGTCACTTTTGTAGAGCAAGGTCCTTAGAATCACAACCACAATCCAGTCTCTCCATACTTTATTTTCCCTCCACTGTTTCACTAGGCCAGTCAGTGACTTTCATCCAAGAACACCTTTACTTGACTCCCTCAGAGGATATTTGACAATGTGTAGAGACACATTCAATTGTCACAATCGAGGAAGGGCACCTAGTAGGTAGAGGTAAGTGTTGATGCTAAATACCATACAACACATCAACAGTGAATTGTGTGTCCCAATTATTAGCTGTGTCAATGTAGAGAAACACTACACAGACTATGACACTAAGTGTGATTATTCAGAGATAACTCATCTCCATTCACATTCCCTAGGACCAACTTAGGAGACTTACAAATCCTATTCAGGATCTCTGAATAGCTATAATGAAGTCATATAAAATCTATCTCATATTAGATATCTCTGGGAGTACATGAAAGCATAATGCAAAACTTAGATGGCTTCTGAATTTGACACATAGACCCATCTGATTCCAAAAAATTCAACTTTGGAAGTGTGCCAAGAAGGTCTGACTCACATCAGCAAGTAATCTCTGACATCATTTGATAAACCTTTATTGGACTGAGCTGCATGTACAAGTACCATGGAGTTGGCAGAGGGCTTTTTACCTAGGATGCTGGGGATGTAGACTTTATTTACCCCAGTGGCATTTATGGGGTTCTACTTGGAGTGCAATTCAATAAGAGAGATATCTTGTATTAAAAAATTCCACTCTGCTAGGATTAACTTAACCCAGAATAGATTTGACTTCTCAGACATGTCTACCAACACAACAGCTATATTTAGGAAATGCCATATATATATCTCGTAAATTTACCACTTACACTGGGTGTCAGTATTTCCTTGAGAGGGAGGTAAATACCTGTATAGGTGGTATCCGTGTGTGCCATGGTAAAGTCTTTCTATAAAAAGAATCTCTACTAAGAAAGAGACATATGGCAAATCTTGGAAAGAAAATTCTGACATTCTTTGCTATCTCTAAGGGTTAGTTAAAGTTTTATAATCATTTTTCCTCTTTTCCTCTGAATTATATGTAGTGACATCTGGAAGGAAGATGTGCTGAAAACCAACTTCTGATCATGGTTCCACATGCCACTCACCACTGACTTTTAACTGCAGAAGGACTCAGGACGCTAGATCAGTCATAGAGGTCTTTTCAGTATTTAATGTGGCTGTACTTCCTGGCTACCCCCAAGCAGAGGTCATTCACAGGAAAATGCTATTTTTTAAGTATCTCCCTGAAATCATTCTGACTTCCATTCTGTAAGGGCTGTCCATGCTTTTGATATATTCCCTATTTTTTCAGTTTCAAAACATATCTCTTCTCGGTAGCCCAATTATAATCAAAATTTAGAAATTCCTTAATATGTTGATCTATTCTAGTTTTTTTTAAAATCCATTGGAAGGACTTTGGGGTTATAATATGTAAGCAGAACAAGGATGTTTCTAAAAGCTTTTAAAGGCACTGTGTTGAGCAGATGAGGAAATGGTACAGGGTGGATAAGTGTAAGGGACATGTGGAACAGAGAAGAGGAGCCAACACAGTGCCTTTCCAATGACAAGTGCAGATATCTTCTATTCAAATATGAAGCAGGCAGGTTCATTCTGTAACACTGTGAGAAAATTCATAAATTCTCCATCACAGTCAGAAGCAAAACTACCTGCCTATTTCTCCATGCCCAATATGCCATGACTCTATCTACTTTATTTTTCTCTAAGCTCTGGGATTCTTTCTCCATGGTTTATCTTAAACACACAGTCACACCCTGGTAGTCACACCCTATTTGCCCTTAGTGACTGAACCCTTGCTCTTATTAGTGTGTGTGTGTGTGTGTGTTTGGGTGTGTGTGTGTGTGCTGGAGCTCAAGCTAAGGGCCTTGCACATGCCAGGCAAGTGTGAGCTGCAAACCCAGCCATTCACGGTATATTCTCAAAGACCTCTGAGAT